AAATTAAGAGTTTGATGCTTTACCGACTGAGCTATCCCAACCTAAAATTTGGCAAGTGCCGCCCAAAGGACGACAAGTGCCTTACCAATTTATGTGTTCCATCCTTGTCTCTCCTTTCATACTACACAAGATAGTTCATTACTTAACGATTACCATCAAGACATAGTATTCGCATCAGTACATTTTATTCAGCCGAGGGATCCCGTTAGATTCGCCTCTTATGTTAGACTAATTCGTTTTCCACGCATCGATCCTCGAATTTCCGGCGTAATGTCCACGTTCGACCGTCCGGCTTCCTGCCGGTTGCGTCGCCTTCTTTCTTCTTTTTTTATTTTCTTTTTCTTTCGCGCGAAGCATTACAATGACTCGTTCGTGTTTGCTCGTAGACTTGAAGCACTGCACGGACGAATATATTACGCGTTTCCTGCTGGCCCGGAAATATCGCACGGAGCAAGCTGCCGCACTGATAGTCGCTTATCAGGCGCAAGTAGCACATCGACAGGATATCTTCGGCAATCTAACAGCGAGAGATCCAGCCTTGCAGCGCGCGCTACGCGCCGGAATACCGGGTGTACTTCCTGCGCGCGACAGGTATTTAAATGTTTTGAGATTTAAATTCGCTTCCGGTCTACTTGATAAAAACCTCCGTCTCTCTTTACTCGAGAGTTTATATTATACGTTAGATTAGCAGAATATCGTACAAAAATATTGATATTGATATGACTTGCTATGAGTTTCGAAATTTCATATTACGTGTTAATGGTGACACAAATTTTCAGAAAAGGAAGATGCGTGCTCGTCATTTTAGCTTCGCAATGGGATCCAATAGCTGTTCCAGCATTGTCAGTTCAACGAGCCTTATTTTTAGTACTGGAAATTCTCATACAAGACCCAAGGAATCAGGTACGATTCACGTACGCATGCATTCGCACGTTTAGTCCGCCATTGGGACTCTGGACGTTTCATTTTTTTTTCTTTTTTTTTTCTTTTAGCAATCCGGTTTCGTGGCAGTGGTGGATTGGAGCGGATTCTCTTTACGACAAGGCGGTGCCTTGGGGGCAACGGCACTGCGAAACCTAATAGCTGCTCTCCGAGGACGATTTCCGGCTAGATTTAAAGCTATACACTTCCTGTCGGCGCCGCTTTATGTTCAGGCCACGTTGGCCCTTGTGAAACCTTTTTTGGACGAAAAGACTCGAAACAAGGTGAGAGAAGCAATCGAAAGACAAACAAAGTAGAAAGGAATGAAATAATATGCACAGTGATAACAATACTAATCGATCAAAGTTAACGAATAACTTTAATTAAAGTGTCATATTAAAATATGATCAATTGCTGTATTTCTAAGCGTGTATGTGTATGTGTATGTGTATGATCGCACCGTGCTGAAATTGAAGCACTTTTGCATACATGCAAGTTTTAGATACGAGAAATTAAATATTGACCAGAAGATAATTCGAGATAGCATAAAACTCTAGACTCGCGATGTTTGCATAGACTGTGAATAGCCGATTTCGTTGAACGAGTTCCCTTTTGATCTCAAAGATTCTCGACAGAAAGGTTAACTTTTCATGGAATTTGTGACGTGAATTAACATACCTCCAACGTCGTTTTCAGATTTACTTACATGGGAATAACTTGAGCACTCTGCACGAACACTTACCCACTGACATTTTGCCAGCGGAACTAGGTGGCACGGGGCCAGCTTTTAACCCAGGACTATGGGCCGAACCAGTTATTCATTCAGCGATGAAGGAAGCTGAACTGGCTGCGATAAAAAAGGAGAAGGAGCAAGCTGAGAACGTGGACCAGTCTTGCGACAAGAAGTTCGAATTCAAAGGCACGGAGAATCACAAGAGAAACGAGGGGACAGACCCCGTGAAGTCGGGCAACGGCGTGAACAAAGAAAACGGAAGGCGATTTTTCAATCCTTTCGGTAATTCTACGAGAAATCAGCCCTCAAAGAAACCTGGAGGAACGAACGTGGAACTAGATCTAATTAATCATACTAATGGACATGCAGAAAGGAAAGAAGATAGAAGAGATGATAGAAGAATGATGAATGAAGAGAGAGATGAAGACTCTTGTTGCAGAAGTAGAGACAAAAGGTTGAATAATGGCAACACTGATTATTTTGATAATAAAAACGAACAATACAAAGACTCGCACGACAATTTATTAGAATCTCAGACAAAAAGACACTCAAACGAGTATGAAATCTCAAATAGGCCAGACAGCGACGACAGTAAAGATAATTCGTTAGATAACAAGTCAGAAAATGCGCTAATTGATACAAGGAAGATCGAAACTCCCTCAGAAGAAACAAATCTCATAACGTAATATTAGTCTTGTTAACTTTTTAGGTTAAAACAAATTAACGCGGCTCTTCTGTGAGAAATCTTTGACTTTTTAAATATAATTAAATCAAACATCGTCGCTAGGTTTACGATCAGTGAAATATAGTAGGTAGAATCCGTGTATTCTTTGTGGATTTTAAGAGATATATTGTGATACGATATATGTCATTATTTAAGTATTTAAATATTAACGAGGCTTTTGTTTTTTCTTATGTAGGTTTTGTTTCAACTAGATTATTTCATTTTTTTTATTTTATTTTTAGTACTTTTTATCATATAAAAAAAAAATGAATTTATCGCCAGAAATTTTCATTCTTTTTAAATATATTTATATATTGCTACTACTGTTCGTTGCGAAAGTGAAATGAACATTGCACGAACATTCTCTATGTTCCTTTTTCTATCGTATGTGAAAAACATATAGTTTATAACTTGCAACGAGTACTTATACCTTTATATGACCTTGAATTTAACTTATAATTACAAAAATTCATGAATGTTTTTATAGACTACATTTATCGTTTTTCTCGAAACCATGAGCATATTTTTACATATACGAAATTATCACTCATATTTTCACTCATATTTTTTAAAAACGTACAACATATTAGGATTGTAAATATGTATTAAATTATTTATTGATATCAAATGTACCATGAAATCAAAGATCTCTCATTCGTATTCGAAGAAAGCGTACTTAAAACTGTAAGTGTGACAGAAATTGCGTCATAGATATTTTTTTTAATTCTATCAATTGTATTTTTTAAATAAAATAATATTTTAATATCCGAATCCTTTCTATCTGTGTTTATTTTATATTACAATACATTCGCTATGTTCCTTTGTACAAATGTACAATCTTCTTATAAAGTAAGTCAACAAAATTAATTGACTGAAAAATAAATTGAAAAAAAACTTCTGTAAAAATCATTGGTAAAAGAGAAAATTGTGATGGAATAATAGGGAAGAAATAAATATTTATTTCTTTAGTATATAAAATATATATGTATACGATATATTAACATCAATACACAGTATAAACATAAAATTTTCAATACCTTTTATCACATTACCAAAAGCACTCTACTACCATGTAATTTGTTTTTCTCTTTCTATCGTTCATACACACATTTTCTCCCCCTCTCTCTCCCTCTCTCTTGATTCGTATGAAAATAGAAAATCCTTTATAGAGATCTATGATGAGGTATATAAAAACGGTAATCAAATACAGTGTAGTAGTTTACTTATGTACAAATGTTATTACTTCTTTCAACAAGATTTTTGTTAGAAAAATGAATTCTTTAACATCAATTTATATATATATATATATA